CCAAACCTCACCTTGCTCGCAGCAAAATGTGCACGAGACGAAAGAGTATACTGTTGACGTTCCAGGTGCCGTGCCTCATCAAAGCCTGAGGATTCGCAGTTGTTCCTTGCGAAAATGGCGATAGGTTTCTGAAGCGATGACTTCAGCAGGTGGGTGCAAGTGAATGTCTATGTTTCACAATCCTATGAAGGGTGAATAAGGGTGAGAGACACGTTTCCTATCGTTTCCTGGTCTAACACCTGGCAGCAAACACAACATGCACGCACAAAATCGTTCAGTTGTCAAATCATGTTCAACAGATCAATTTCACTTCAAGGCAAAACCCCTTTCTTCTACGATTCTTCCGTTGTATTACCGGAAAAAAAAACAGCAAAACCACTCTCAACATATATGTAGTTCAGGTGGTTTTGCCGGTAGAAGCTGGGCTTCTCCGATCCACAGTTTCTCTAGGCAAGCTGCCTTCACCTTCGAGGCCTCAAGGTTTTCCTTGGACCACTTGGCGGTGTCTCGGCAGCCGAAACGGAGGAAGAGCGTGCGAAAAGAATTCTAGCCACGGCCTCAATAGAGGTGGGTCAGAACCCGACTGTGAGATCCTATCCCAGTTGGTAACCCAGGTTGCGCGTGCTATTTGCCACTGAACCTCTATTGGTACACTTTTTTGGAAGATTCACCTGGAACCTGAAGACTAGGTTTCATCGCTTTGTAGAGGAAGAAATGGTCAGACCCAGTCTGGTCCATGCCAGGTTCCATGTTACGATCAGACTCTTCCATGCCATGTCACGTCCGTCTTTGCCGAATGATGCCGGGAAACCAATCTGGATGGGCGGCAGAACTGAAACCATGAGAGGACCATGGTTGAACTGGACCAGATCGGTGGTTCTCACTCATTCACTCCACCGAAAACGGGTCCTGTCTCACCATCAAAGTGCATGTCGAATTGCTGAGCTGGGTGTCTCACCAGGCGTGGGTGGACGTGGCGTGGGTGGACGGTTCTTGATTGGCATCATGGCTGATCTTCCAGTATTGAAGGCTAAGAACTCCATATTCTCGGTGTTTGGTGGTTCTTCATCCCCTAGGTGTGTGCGTGACAGACACTTCGTCTCTCTTGACATGTCGCTTTGGTGTTGCAAGGAAGAGTTGAAAGACCTGACTCTGCCACAAAAGTCCCTGCGCGGACCCCAAGTTTCCCCACGTCCTAAAGCGGTGGTGGTCCCGTCCACTATGTGAGGATGGGTCAACTTGGAACCCGAATTGTCCAGCAGGTCGGTCAACCGACACCAGGTGGTCCTCTCAGGGTCTTTCGTATTTCCAACATGATTTTGAGGTGAGTGAACCTCACCTTCTCCTGTAGATAGAAGACATGGTTCATTTCGAGTCGCACCTACTTGAGCCACGAGCCTGACCTCGCCTGACTGACCTGGCACTGATCGGAGCCGTTCGGGATCCCTTGGGGCTGGGAGGCTCCACCGAGTTCTCGGCTCATCCATGGTATCCTGGGGAATCCATTATCAGACTTGGGGAGGGTTGGTGCTTTTTCTGGGTATAGGACATACGTAGGAATGGCAGGAATTCACCTCCAGAATAAGATGATCCTCGTGATTCCTCGATCAGTTGAGCCACTTCCGATGGATGAAACAGAGATTCGGCTTTGCAGACTGGCAGTGTGGCAGGTCATGATTTATGTGACATTACGTGACCAAAGTGCCATACATGCTTCCTGCGGTGTGCGTGTCGAAATTTCTACCGGCTCCATGCCTATGGCGGAAGTCTGTGTCCCGGGTTTGTCTGGAAACAAGAAGACCTCGTTCCGCGCGGACGGCCTCAAGTTGAGCAAACCAAAACCTTCAGAGTCAGACCAAAACCCTCAGAGTCAGACTGGTACTGTAAGTATGTCACCTTCTGGCGCAAGTCTGAGGTCCGCGAAGCAGGGCGGGAACACCTCGCAGTGCACGCTGCTGGTGGCCGACCAAGGTGACTCCGAGTCATTTCTGGTGCAAGAGTTGATGACAAGGGGTGATGTGTACCTCTCCCAGAAAGAGACATGGACCTTGAACATTAACCTGGAACGCTGGCTGTTCCTACAAACCAGTGGCTGTTCCAGCACGATTCCGACCCGAGGCGCCACGCTTTTTTCCAGACAAAATAAAGAACATTGAGAGTTATTAATATTTGTCTGTTGGGTCATACATATTTTTCCTTACCATTGTGACCCAACAGATTAACTCCTAGCGACCGATGGGCCCCTTCTTGGATCTGGGCTCCCTGCTCTTGACCTGGCGGTGTAATCCCAAGAGCAGGAAAGACGTGGACAAGAGGGATGAACCCTTTATGTTAATTATTAGAGAAGATTTTCCATAAAAATCAAGGGTGAATGCAGAAGATGGAAGTGGTGAAGGCCAGGTTCGTGGGGAAGGTGAATGACAGCGGTGAAGGGGTCCAAGGAATCCCAAGAACACTTGATGCATGGCTTTCCATTATATATACAAATCACCTTCATGGCCACCTGTGCTCTGACCGGCACCGTGCCGGTCATCACCCTTCCTCTACGGGGTGTTTCACACACCCGCCTTGAGGGTTCCAAAGGTGGGGCTTCGCAGACATCACAGCATCTCCACCTGCGACCATGCAGCAGGTGGTAGAGGGCTGGATGTGTATTCAACCCTCCAACCTTTTTTTTCAACCCTAACCTTTTTTTTCAACCCTCCAAGACGCTTTTTCAACCCTGGGTTGGAAAAAAATGTAACCCCTACTAAATCAACCCATGGTCCTTATATTCCAACCTTTGTTTTTCACCCTGGAAACATGCCTTTTTCACCCTGGAAACATGTTTTTTCCACCCTTGAACCTTTTTTTCCAACCCATAAACATGCTATTTCAACCCTATGACACGCTATTCTAACCCTGGGTTGCGCCGTGGGGGGCTGGCCTTTCAGTCCTAGGATGTAGACGCCTTCGTCGGAAGCTCGAATGATTCGGCCGCCCTATTCTGCTATCGCTGCTGGTCCTTCTCCACCGTTTTCCTTTTGCTTTGGCCTTGCTGGCTGGCTGCTGCCAGCCTCCACCTGCAGCTTCCGCTGCTGCCGCTGGTGCTGCTGCTTACTGCTTTGCTGTGCTGCAGCCGCTGCTGCTACCGCTGCTGGCGCCGCCGCTGTTGCCGCTGTTTGTGCCGGCGCTTCCTTTTTGCTTAGCTGTTGCTGCTCTGCTGGTTTGGATGCGTGCTCGTGCTCAGAAAGAGTCGGCAGCGCACAGAACATCGCCGCTCCGGGCGACATGTTCCCAGAACAAATATGCTTGGTGCACTTTTTAAAGATTGTCAAAGGATCACAACAGACCGAGCCCTCTGAAATCCCGAATATCATGGCTACTATGCACGCCCTCCTACACCCAGGCCCCCCTATTGAAACCTATGTTCAGACATTAGTAAGGCCTAAGCAGGCTTCAAACCTCAGTTTCTACTCGGTAGGCGCTCAACACAGCATGGAACTCTTACCGGGATGTTGTTTTCCTTCAGTGAGGTTTTGGTCTTGTTTCGGTCCTTTGCTAAGACCTCGGTCTTGTTTTCTTGTTAAGACCTCGATAGGCCAGCGTACATGAACATGTCGTGAAACTGTGCTTGTCTGGCAGTGGCTGCTGGCTCTGGGTAGCCACAGTAAACATACAAGCAAACAAGTTCGTCCAGATTTGCTAGCAAAGTTGCAGTGCAGTGCATAGGTCACACCTTGGAACATTAGACTCTATATATAGAGTTTTCTTCTGTCAGCCCTAGCCAGTTCTCCTTTTCTTTGAACTGACGCACCGGCAGCCGGTGCACCACTTGGCAGACTGGCCCGGTCCCCCAGCAATCGTCGTAAGAGGCCTGAAAGCCTGAGAGGTTTGTCCTTTTTATTCTTCCCATCCCGAGGGTGCATGCGCCAAAGGGCCTGCTGCGCCACAACATCGCATGGTCCATGTTCCATGTTCCATGTGGGTCTCTTCCAGAGCATACAGCCCACGGGGGCACCACGGCAGCGCCACGAAAGTCTCTTCCTGGGACGTACGAACTTCCACCTGGCGCACTTGACTGACTCGCCGGACAGAGCTGGACCCAGTGTTATATTTTTCTCACTGGCCTTCTGACACCCTGTCCAGTCTTGCCTGTCATTGGCTGCTCTGATCCGCGCGTCGGTTTCCATGCACCTTGAAGTTCAAACAAAGGAAGACAGTTTAGGGGCTCCTGGCCTTGTTACTAGGGGCAAGGACGCTGACGCTACTAGGGCCCCCTGTCCTTACGCTACTAGAGGCTCGTGGCCGAACTACTCGGAGCAAGGACGCCGATTGGCTTGTGGAGCGGGCCGGCGTCAGCACGGCAAAGATGGTAGCGATCCGTCCTTGCAATGACCACTGCTCTAGACATCGAGCATCCGCAGCTCGAGCGTGCAAAGGTTGCTGCCAGAACTGGGCGAGCATCTCACGCCTCGAGACACCGGCGAGACCCTTCACACGAGATCCCCTGCGGACAAGACGCGTGACAGGCGCGCGAAGTTCAAACCAAAGGAAAACAGTTTAGGGGCTCCTGGCCTTGCTACTAGGGGCAAGAACGCTACTAGAGGTTCTTGACCTTACTACTCTGAGCAAGGACGCTACTAGGAGCTCCTGGCCTTACGCTACTAAGGGCTCGTGGCCGAACTACTCGGAGCAAGGACGCTTCTGGGTATGCGAAATAGTGGTCTTGGTTCCCTTACAGCCCCAAAACACTTCTTGGGTGTTGGTTGGTGCGTAGAACAACTTCTTGAAGCAGGCAACAACAACAACAACCACAACAACAACAACCGCGACATTGTTGCACGTGGGTTTCTTACCTTTTTACCTGGACCCAGTGTTATATTTTTCTCACTGGCCTTCTGACACCCTGTCCAGTCTTGCCTGTCATTGGCTGCTCTGATCCGCGCGTCGGTTTCCATGCACCTTGAAGTTCAAACAAAGGAAGACAGTTTAGGGGCTCCTGGCCTTGTTACTAGGGGCAAGGACGCTACTAGAGGTTCTTTACCTTACTACTATGAGCAAGGACGCTACTAGGGCCCCCTGGCCTTACGCTACTAGAGGCTCGTGGCCGAACTACTCGGAGCAAGGACGCCGATTGGCTTGTGGAGCGGGCCGGCGTCTGCGTCTCACCCATGCGACTTCTCCTGCGCACATGGAAGAGAAATCTGGACCAAATTGAATTGGCGCAAGCCGATGAATGAAGCTCGAAGAGATCTGGCAGCCACCGCTGCAGCCGACAGCTAGAAAACCAGCAGCCGACACGAACCGCAACAAACCAGAGCACCACACATGACGCGACAAACCAGAGCAACAAAGTGAGAACAAAGGGCATCGCTACTAGGAGCAAGGACGCTACTAGGGGCTCCTGGCATCGCTACTAGGAGCAAAGACCAAAGAAGCTTTCTAGGTCAAATCGAACGTCGAACGAATCTCTTCGGCCTGCTACAAGGGTTAAAAAAGAATGTGACAGGGTCAAAAAACAATGTTCGAGGGTGAAAAAGAAATGTTGCAGGGTTGAAAAAAAAGGTTAGGGTGGAAAAAAATGTTTTAGGGTTGAAAAACAATGTTGCCCTCTACCACCGGCTGCATGGTCGCAGGTGGAGATGCTGTGATGTCTGCGAAGCCCCACCTTTGGAACCCTCAAGGCGGGTGTGTGAAACACCTGATTCCCGATGGCTCCGCGATGGCGAGCCAACCACCCAGTCCCAGCCAGAAACAGTTCTGGGTGTTCCTACATGGCAACTGAGATCCTGAAAACATGACATGTGGTTGTTTGGGAGATATCCATTTGTTTCTAGTTTTTGCTGGCGGGTGCCGTAACCGTAACGGCCCCGTGGTTTTGCTTGTTGCTATTGGTTTGAGTCCGCATATTTACATGCAACCCCACCAAGACATTTACGACACTGACATTCATGTAGTAGGTAATGACAACCATTCCACTGGTTTGAATGCGTGACAGCTAAGAGTGTAGAGAAAGGTGTGAACCCACGGATTCGTGCACGCCGAACCCAGTGGCGATGCGAACAGCGACCCTTTTTCGAACGAAGGCGACCTGCGCCGAAAGCAACCCTGAAAAGATGGGGCCTCCGTCCTTGCAGTCGATCAAACCCGAAACCCAAAAAAACTGTTCGACAAACCTCAGTGATTCCACAGCATGCCACAGTGATTCCTGTTAAGATGTTACCAAAAAAGAGCGACCACCCAGGCAAAACGTTAGTTTTAACATCCCTGTGCGAATTTCCTCTAAAAATTCAGACAACCCGGTTGTCATAATGAAAATATACAGTGCCAGTCTACAACTGGAACCGGGGGTTCCCATTCTCTATAAGGCCAAGAGGGGGTTGATTTATTAGAGACTTTGGTTGTCGAGCGTTAGCTCGAGAATGGGGTGGATTTTTTAGAGAAAAGAGTCTTTGCAAAGCCAGATGTTTGCATCATTTTTTGAACATTTTCTGCTTTCGCATGAGTCGAAACACATGCAAGCATCGTCGACTTTTTGTTCGACTCGAACGAAGGACGGTCAATTCTTTAGGCCTTTTGAGTTTTTCGAACTTCCTTCGTCTCCAATTCGTTAGCAGATGCAATCTGGCTATTGATTCTTTGGAGAATGTTCTTGTTTTTTTAGTGCCACTTCTGGATACTGAACCTGGGGATTCCTAAAGAATTGACAGTCCGGGTGTGAGTGCGAATTGGAAGGGGGATGTTTTAACAAACGTCAGGTAAATCACGTACGAAAACAACCTTGCGGTACCCGTGACCTAGTGTGTGTGTGTGTTTTGTTAAATTTCCTTGTTACCTTGTCTTTACTTTTCAGCATCCTTTTCACAGGAGGGGTGTTTGGAACATGGTGCTTGAACATCAGTTGGTGCATGTTTCATTCCTGTTTCGATCTGTAAGGAAAAGCCATGCAAAACCCACGTGCTTTGTCCGACAAAAACATTGTGCCCAAAACCATGTTATCCCAGCTGCGCGACAAAACGATGTTCATCACGGTTTTGTGGTTGAAAGGTTTTTCAGCACCCCCTGAAACAGGTTGCTCCTTTCGCACCCTAGCGGAGAAGATCCGACATGGACTCTACCTGACGACTCGATCAGGCAGGGAGCGGAGGCCGAACTGCTGAGGTTTAGGAACGCAACAGAGGTTAGGTGACCGTAAATAGCACGCATCACCTGGGGTACCCAACTGGGATATAGTCTATAGGGCCATAGAGTTCTTCAACCTCTGTTGGTCCCTCTCATCTTGCTTTCAACGCTCCTGGCTCCAAGGCCGACTTGGGGCCCTCGCCCACCGGTCGGAGGTGGATCCATTGGACTTCCTCGCGAGGCAAAGCACGGGTCCGGCGTGTGGACGAAGAGCTTTTCTACGACAAAGTGGAGGATCCAGACGGGAAGGATGTGTTAGCGACTCGGCCCCTGCAGGAACAGGCGGTTTTAGGGGTCAGAAAGTGTTGGAACAAGGAAGTGAGTTGGGAGTCTCAGTGAGCAGCTGCTCAACACCGGTGTCTATTCCCTTAACGGTCTCATGTCTCCTTTCGTCTCCTTTCAGCTTGCTCATCACGGGCTGCACCGGATGTTTCGGTGCCCCATGACCGATCGGAGCACCGAAGGCTTCACGGATTTGAAACCGGTGAATACCAGCACACGGACGGATGACGGGGAGGTCAGGCGTCTGGACACCTGAAGGAATGGAGTTAGTTGGAATGGCCAGATGGTGGAGCACCATGGGCCGAGTGAAAATTACTTAAGTGTAGATTTTTTTTCCCCAAAACCACAGGCTTCCATTGGTGCGCAACATTTACCAACTGTGGTTATCTGTGGTTCCCACAAATGATGTCACAATGTCACAGCATCTCTTTCCCAACCCTTCGCGCCGCACCTCTCTCCTCTGAGGTTGAAGCCTTCGTGGCCAGCAGCTTGGTCGAAGCGAAGCCGAGGGAAGTTGCACAATGTTTCAAACAGAATGGTTGTGTGTTGGGTCTGTCCCATTACCTGAATTAAGAGTCAAGAGTTCGGTAAGCAATAGCAAATGGAGGGGCCTGCAACCTAACCATCATCCTCCACTGGGCCCTGGTAGTGGGATATACCGATATACCACGATATACCCAAGGTGTGTATTTGAATAGAGATCCCCAAACCAATGGGTAGACGGGCCTATTTTCCTTCTTCCATGGGTCTTTGCCTGGGAGGTCGCTCTTTTTACATGATCTTTACACACCCACTTTTTCATCCATCCACAGCAATGTGTTTTTCACCAACTTCCAGTTCATTCCTTCCAGTATATAGCTGTTGCTCAGTCCCTCAATTCCAGCTCGTCCAAGGGGTTCCAGTTCCGCTGCTGCTGCCCAAAGACCTGGGCTGCCAGGCCGGGGGGCGCCTGCGCCGGACGTCGCACCTCGGACCAGGCCGCCACCGATCCGATGAAAGCCGTCGATTCCGGGTCATCCGTGGAGCATCCAGCTGGGAGCTCGAACCGGGTGCATGGTCCACCCGGTTGGGGTGGCGGCTCCGACGCACCAATCTCCATGCGGATCTGGTCACCAGGCGGACTGGTTGGTGAAGGGAATTGGAGGCCCTCCCCAGGTGGGAGGTCCATCGCTCCTTCGGCCTGAGCTCATGGGCATTGCTTCACATCATGAAAGAACGAACGCCTTGGGGTGGGGAAGATCGTTGGTTGCACCCGAAAATCTTTCTATTTTGCATCTACCCCAGCCCTCTGAAAACATTCTGGCAGCTCGACTTTATCTCATGGTGCACGATATCCGGCCACGGACGTGTCTGAAGTCGATGGTGGGATTCTGTGCACCGGAAGGCGACCGAACAGGACGATCCGATGATCGACTCATTGATCCAGATCCAAAGAAGTCTAAAGGTTGCACATGGCAGATGGGTCATCGAAGAAGAATGGGGCATGCTCATCCAATCCCAAACGGCCACTAGTCCACACTGTATGCACTGGGAGAAGGGTTAGTGTTGCTTCATTTTTCACTTCCGGTCCTGTTCATCCCTTACGTGCTGTAACTGTAGGTTTTTTTGAATGTATGACCGTATGACTCAGACGCAGGGCTGCAGAAGTGCAGAGGCTCCATGGGAGAAAACCTCAGTGCTTAGATTTTAAAAGGAGCGACAGACTTGTCCAGGTGGCTTTCTGGATGGGAACGACGGGAAATAACTTTGGCCGCTTGGTCACATCTGAGCCAAAGACTCATTCTGACCTTAGCAACACGTTGTATGTTGGGCTTTGTGCAGAAGGGAACTGGATGTTGGGACTGCTAGATACATACAGACATATTTAACATCTCGATGCTGCTTCAAGCACAATTGTGCTCATCTAAGGCTTGCACAGCGACCTTTTCACTGAACAATTTCTTTGCCAGCACCAGGCGAGGACATCCTGGGTCAAGAAAACAGTCACCTTTATCATCTACTAGTCACTAGTCACTGCTGCTCTTCACTTAATGGGTGACACGGTCTGACAGCCTAGCCAGCCCGTGTAATTCGGGTAAGGGCAAAAGGGTGTGTACGTATAGCCTTCGGATGCCTTTGGTAAAACATGATCACTATTTTGGGGAAAGATCTGTACTATAGAACCCTCATCATCCTCTGCGCCCTGGTCATAGGACTTACCGGACTTACCCAAACAACGATTAGTGCCGCGCCCCACCCGTACCATCGACACGGTGACACCACACCCTCCGCCGCTCCGCTGGAGCCGCCGCTCCGCTGGAGCCCAGGGCGTGAAGGAAGTCCTTCTACTCCTGCCGGAGGATGCAGCGATCGTCCAGCCGTCCCACGGCGAAAGAGAGCGATCCGCTGATCCGTGACGAACGCAGAGCATGGAGAGAGAGAGATGCCGAACGACTTGATTCGGTCTCCGAATCAGATCAACACTGCGGTGTAAACCAAGTGGGAATGTCAAGGTGGGACTATAATAGAGTCTGTGTTGTTTGAACCAGGAAGTTGAAGTCCCGAATGTATGGATTTGCTCACACACACACATCATTTACATGTCAGATCATGTATTGCCATGTATGGGGTCAATTCTCAGAGTACAGTATACATCGAATGACATGTTTGTCAAGCCAGGCTCATGCAATACTTGCGCCGCGTGAAACATGTGTCGAAAGCAGCCGGAGAAGGCGCTGGAAGCCACTGCTCTACTAGCCACTGCTTTGCTTTCCTCTGCTTGGGACGACTTAGGTTTCCCTTTCTGGAAAGCCCGCTGTTCTACAAGTCACGAGCACGCACGGCCCGCGACTCACAGACAGCTGGTGGAAACGGAAGGAGATGGAAGGGTGTTTCAGTCCAATTTGCAGAAGAATCTACAGTTAAGTGCGTTTTGTGCAAGAGAAGCAGCCATTTACTCAGGAACTGCCACTTTCTCAACAAAACACATTGCTGGTGTCGCTTGCAGGTGGACAACTTGACGCTTTCGAACGCAAAGTGTTTCCGCGTTGTGTTGGAGCCTGGTGACGTGCCCTGGGCTAAGCGATTCGCAAGCGATCCAGGAGTTCAGGGGCGTGTGCGTGTGAGAGCTTTTTTTAAAACCAGTTTTCTCACCATGTTTTCACCAAAGCAAACGATTTCCAGGTTTTTCACTTAGTTCCAAGTTGAGTGCCATTCATCTGGACCCTCAAAACCACATCGCCACGGTCTTTGGGTTTTTGGAGCCCAAGAAGCACCTTGGAACTGCTGGTTGGTGAGTTTTGGACTCACTGGTTTTGCTCGAAGTGCTTGAGCTATGGGAAGTGTCGAAGCGCTTCATAGTACCTTTTCAGTACCTACAAGTTGTTGAGTGAAGTTGTATCTTCTTGTTTGAAGTCGTATCTTTTGAGCGTCTGCTTTGCGGTGGGGCATGTTCAGCTTGTTTTTTTTTGAGGATCTTGTGACTTGTGGTTTGGCTTCTTGACTTGTGTCAGCGTCCCAGCTTGTGTTCTCTGAGTTTGAAGCCATTTCTTTAGCATGTTGCTTTTAAAAGCTTTCTTTTGTCCAGGGTGTCTTGGTCGCCCTGTTTGGTCGCTCGGATACGTAGTGGACTTCGGCTGTTGAACAGTTCACTCTTGTTAGATGCTTTTGACAGGCCCCTCCCATGGCTTTGTGACATTAGGCCTGGTCAAAGTGTAAGCCTTGTGATTTCACACATTTCATATCAGCCACTATATAATACTATATACAGCTTTTCAACAGGCATCCTGATGGATTTGGAATCTTGGTGGTGATCACACTTCTTCTCGTTGAACATAGCGTACCCATTGTGATTTGCATGCCTGTGACATCAACAAATGCAGCTGCTTTACAGGCATCCTCATGGGCTTTTAACAATCGACCTGATAAGAGTTGCATCCCTTCACGTGAGCGTACCCATGCAGTTCTATGTTTACCTGATGTGACACTGATGTGACTTAAACCGCCCTGATGTGACTTGAATCGCCCTTTGCAGCGGTACCCCCTTGCGGTTCATCGGTGTGACTCAACCACGGTGAAGATGGTTTCCGTGAGACTCCTCCCCTTGTGCCTGTCGTCGGGTGTGGCGTGTTGGGTAGTCCAGCCAGGTGACCCAGATGGTCGGATGGTCCCAGGTGACCTGGTTTGTTTTGGTCCTTGTTTAAAGGTTTTCTGAGGTGAACGATTGCCATGTCCCAGGGCTCGGTTAAAGACACCTGATGTCCCAGGGCTCGGTGCGATGTCGGTGCTCTCCAGCTGAGCGCCGCTGTTTTGGGTTCCTTTGATCCTTCTGCAATCTGAGGTGCTCTTCATCCCCTTGTTTTGGTGGCACGAGGTGCGTACCTTACAAGGCCCAGCGGTCTCCACCACCTACCGCTTCCACACTGAGGCAGGAGGCAGACAAGAGGTGTGGATCCAGGATGGTTCAGTTGATATGGAGATGATCGGTCCTATAGGTAGTTCAAGGTGGACGCGAAGGATTCAGCTTGGACATTTTGGTGCTCACTCTATTGATTGTTTATCCACTTGATTTGCTCCCATTTTCGGATACGACCACAAGGCAATGGACAATGACAGTGGTCCCTGATCTCCAAGGAAGGTATACACATGTCAAACAGTATCATAAGTGCTGCGGGGTGAGACAAGGGACAGTGCGCACGTGATGTGATGTGGCACTTATTCTTGGTCCCAGCAGTGCGTGGCATTTTCTGGACCCTCAAGCAGGGCCGTCCCTTCTTCCGAAATATACTGCCTTGATAGATTTGGGGCCCGGTTTTGGGACCCTGAAGTGAACCACCATGGGATTTGGAATGATGATTCTTTCATATTCTTGGACAACAGCGAAGCCAGATGTTTATTGGTTTTGTGGCTACAAAGCTGGGCCCCTTCCTTGCACATGGCAATGTGCTTTTTGGGAGGGCATCGCTGGTCTGCAGTTACGCAGAGCTTGCCAATAAGGGCCGGGGAGTACATATCACAAAAAACATCAACGTGGGCCCTTCTTGACCAGCGTTTGAAGGGGGTACTGGGATCTGAGAGGGCTGCTTATGATCGAAAAGGAACATCGCGCACACCCATGAGCCCAGAGGCCGTTTCATTTTGAGCTTAATACTGACAGCTTGGGATCGTTGCGCGCAGCCAGAAAGAATAACCTTTTTCATGCAGTTTCTGCGAGGTTCGAATCCGAGAGGGGACATGTATCCCCTTGAGCAAGCGGTATTAGAGTTCCTAGTTTCTATATGTTTCTACTGATTAGACCGCGGCGACCGCTACATGAACATCTCTGGGCAAAGCAACTTGACCCGCAAAGGTGAATTGATCGCATTCGCACATCTCCCAATCTAGTTACTAACTTGTCACCGGCTCCACCGAGAGAAGCCGCAGACCATTAAGGTGAGCCCCCACAACGGATCCACTATAGGATTGGTGCTTTCTGTTTGACTCCGTGACAGAGAGCCAAGCCCTCACGTGCTCAGACACCGGCAGACCGGCACCCCAGACCCGTTTCAGGATGCGGAGCGCTTTCTGAAGGTCATGAATGCCTTTTACCAGTTCCACAAGAATGCCTTGGAGTGCGCGGTCTTTTCGGAGGTTGGGGCGAAGAAGTGGGCAGCTGCGACTCGCGTTCTTGGTTCGGGGGGGGAAAAGGATGAACAAAGGTACCTTTTGGAGGAAGGGTTGGAGGCTGCTCCCCTGTGCTGCAAACTGGAGGACCTCTTCGCCAAGCGATATAAACCCACCACATCATCAGTCAGAATGTAACATGTCGGCAGCGGTGAAGATGTGCACAGAACTTTCTGCCACACAGAAAATGCCTTTTTTCTCAATCCTGGCGGCGTATCGGAACATCGGAACATATCTTTCCATAAGCCCACCACTTCACAACATCAACGGAACCCTTCCTCTCAACCGAACACCTGTTCAGTTGTGAATCCATTTACGCTAAGCACGCCTCGGGTCTTCTACGCGCTCCAAAGATGATTGATCGGAGGTACGGCAGTGGCCAGTTAGCTGCGCACATACGTAGCCTGGCAACTTCTGGGACGCGAAGGGAGAACGTCAGAGACAGCTGTCGAGGGGAAAGGGTGCATTTTGGGTGGTGCCACAGGGGCCTCCCAGGATGGATGGATGGATGGATAGGCAGGGAATTGAACAGGCCCGGCAGAACACATGGAAAAAACACAGTTGAAGAGCGCACATGTAATTTAATAGTTTGTTAATCGTTCGTTTGTCAGGGTGTTGGATGCTCAGCTTCCCCTTTTCTGAGCCGGTGTCACTATTTTTATTAGTGGTAAGTCACTCCAGTGGAGGCCTGGTTTTTGTCCCACCTCGCTGAAGACCGACTCCACCTGCCAGGTTCCTTCTTCGTTGATGCTTTGGTGGAGCGACCAAGTCCCAGAGGCCGGCCTGCACGGGTTTTCGTGGAAAGGGGGTGATTTCACGGGTCTTGATTGAGAAGGTGCCCCCATCACTAGGCTCCAGGCCCCCAGGAACATTTTAAAAAACAACACATTTGAACACATTGGTGTTGTTCTCATTTTCTGCTTGCGTTCTGTGGTCTGCGAACTCTGCGAAGACATGCACGCCCCATCCAGCAGAAAACGCTCAACACAACTTTCAACCATAAACCGGAAGTTGTTCCACCAAACCATGTTTGTTGGAGACATCATCAGCTGTGACACCCGGATTTCAGCTCTGGAACCGATCCGATCTCTTGGCGTTCCACCTCGTGGTGCCCAGGTGTTTCTCGAGCCTGGTGCTCCCTCTGTGCCGTGGGTGTCCTCGGCTTCCTGCTGGGCTTTGGTGTGGCACGTCGTGCGCGGTGAGAGGGCCCGGACTCTCCGACCGAAGAGTCCCACTCGCTTGACCGAGAAGCGGCCTTGGTGTGGGAGAAATGAGCGAAGACGAGGGCGCGCGCCTTGGTGCAGGAGTTCAGATGGGAGAGCCTTGGAACTGGCCAGCATGCACCGGTGGGCTCCAGTGATGGTTGGATACTACGGAGGGTGCCCTTGCATGAAACGCTGTCCATGCGAACTGAGGCTCACTGCCATGGGTTTTGCTCCAGCTGTATCACCAGTCGCGACATGTCCCGATCCGATTTTCAGTTCGTGATAGCAAACTACTGGTGTATTAGACCTTTCTCCTCCCCGTACTAGCGACGGCCTCCACCCTACTAGCGATGGCCTCCAACCTTTTGCACCAGGAGATGGCCATTTTGCTGGAGGAGCATGTTGCGCAGCCGGCTCCTTTTCGACCCGCCACGTCCTTGTGCAAAGACAACGCTCGACTCGAGGTGGTGGTCACTGGTGGCGCATGTCGGATCCAAGGGTGGCCTGAGATTGGTGATTCACCTCCCAAACTTTTTGTCAGAATCCAGCCCGAAACGGTGTTTTCCTTTTTCGGGGCCAGCCATGGTCAAGCTTTGAGATCCTGCCAGTATTTGATCGCAAAAAAGACATTCATCACAATGCTTATACATTTTTACCTATACAGACCCAAATAGATACTGGTCGAAAAGTAAATCACCACAAACATGTAACAGTATGAGATCCGTGCCACTATTTACTGTATTTGGGGACCGGGACCACTATATCAACTCTATCATTGGACAAAGCAGTGGAAGCTTTTGCATCAATAACCTCCTGATTGTGCAGTTTCATGACTGACACTCCTTTTTCAAGCCCGGAGCCTTGCATGATCAACGGCCCGCCTTGATCAACCTCAAAAAAGAACAAGAAACATGTTTGCAGCTCCCAGCGGCAGACACAACGACCCTACAACAAGCTGATGCCAGACATGGTGCCCTTTGTATTTATGAACACAAAAAAAAACTGGTATATATATATATATATATTATATATATATACACAGTATATATGTAATAGTAACTTTTTTCTCCCAGCCACTGGCCGACTTCAAACCCACCTCCGTGCCCCTGCCGCCCCACGTTGGCTCCATCCGCAACCGAACCGCGAAATGCCCAGAGCCCTGAGAGCTTCGGTCCAAAGTCAGCGCCCAACGCCAGGCACCTGGAGGGCTTCACGCCTGGTCAGTGATCGTGAATGGCCTAGCACCTTTGCTGGTGCGTGAAGACACAGGCAGGGTCACAGTTGTGGACGGAAACATAGCAAGATTGATGTGGCAGGAGAGAGTTCTGGCAGTGGATGCGAGCCATCCTAACTTGTAATCCAGAAGCAAAGGCCACGCATCAATTGCATGACAATCACACCGCACTCCTGCTGATGCTACTGCCATGCTTAAGGACACGTGGATTTCAGGACCCTCTCCTTTTGCAACAAATGGATTCTTACCTGCTTTGCAAGACGAGACGTGCTTATCAGGTTCCGATCATGCATGCAAAAATCGGGTGACTCGTCAGGACCTGAACATCCGATCAAGCCTGACACATGTCCTACTTCGGACGACTCGTGCGTGTTGGTGGAGACAAGACATGCTCAAAGAGAATCTACGCCCAAATGGATCTTGAATGATCTTGACTCAATCAAACTCTCCGATTTTGGGACATCTCCCAGTTTTTGGGATCCTTTGCGGGCCGGGCGCTCACTGGGCAGCCAAGGCTGCCACTACGAAACCCAGGACCGGCTGGAGTTGTTCATACCAAACATCCCCTGCCTCTTTCAAGACATGTCAGGACCAGCTTTGACTGGTTCCGACCCATCAAAAGAAATTGTACGACTCAACATGTAGAACGGCCGCTTCCCGCCCAAACGAGGCTGCTTCAAGCTGAAGCCCTTGCTGCTTCAAGCTGTCGAGCCTTCGAGCGGGCGAGCGTTGTGGCACCAGAGGCAGGGTGTCGCTCCGACGAGGCATCGCGTGTTCAATGACCTAGGCAAGTGTAAACTCCCTAGGGATCCAGTCGTATCGAACCTCAGGTTCGGTACGACTGGACCCGACGTTTTGGCACCTACATAAGGTACGTGCCTCCTTCCTCACCGTACCTGAGGTTCGGTACGACTCGATGCCCAGGGACTGGACATGGAAAACTTCTTTGAATCCAGATATGGGCTGTGGGTCATGGCAGGCGGATCCTGGGTTGCCCAAAGAAAGATGAAACGGACGACCTACCGGGGTGAGTCCACCTAATTAGTAGGTGTTCTGGGTGTTCATTGTGTCCACCCCAATTTATCCTTAACAGCCTCAAGTTGCAGCAATTGTGGCCACAAACCGGAAGAGCAACCAGCATGAGAAACCGTGGATGCCCCCCTCATGCGTATACCGATAGTTGGCACTTTGGGATGGGCTTCCTAGATGGCTTATATGCAAATCTGTCCAAACTTGGCCATGTTGGCTGAAGTGATGCAGGAAATCATGCATCAACAGTAATGATGCGCCATTGGCGCCTTTTCAAATCATAGACTGACACAAGTTTCTTGCGCGAACGCCAACTCCTCTTGCCCCACAGACTTCGCATCAGGCAAGTCTGGGTCTTAATCAATCACACCCCAGTCACCTACAAACTGAGAAGAGTCCGGTCAATACCAAAATGGCAGTGGGTCCACCAAAGGGCACCCTGGGGTGAATGAATTGGTTCCTCTATCAATTAAGGATGTCAACCATATCTCAAGTCTCAGTCCGTCCTCGGGATTGACAAATAACATACAGTAAATAAAAGGCAAGAGACCTCGTCCACAGACACCCGGCTTCATGAATTACCTCTCAGAACCCCCAATCTGTGGCCACACTCGGCTGGGGAGACATGGCTGCGGGTCCAAAGTCCCCATTTCACCGGGGCCATTTCTGAAGTGGAGCTGCTGAACGCCAGGTCGGCAGGTCCTTTTTTTCCCCCCTACCGGGTCATGATACCTGGAGCCCCTTTCACTCACTCACTCACCCTGCTGGGGTTAACTGACCGACCTCCCTGCTTTTGTCGTCTCTGTTCGACTCGGTGGGAATGTCATACCGCCAGAGTCTCCCGGAGCCATCGCAGAAACCAAGACAGGTAGCCAGTGACCTGAACTAGGACCCGTCTCCTGGGGTACCGAACTGGGATAGTCGAACAGTCGGGTTCTGACCCACCTCTGTTTGGAATTGTACTGTAAAAGTTTCAACACACACATTGACAAAAGATAATTCTATTTATGTATATACAATCTACTGTATGTACAGTATTTCTTGGGAAGAAGAATGCACTTCTCAAAAAACTTATATAAGGCAATCTTTTTTTGAATATCTGAACCATGGTGTCAAAAAGTAGTCACTTGCATTAGGATCACCATTTATGCATGCAAACTCAAATAGTGTTGGTTAGTTACGTTTTTAGTTTGATAATTATGTATCAAAATATATCCTTTCATTCTTAAATAAAAAGTATGTTTAACAAGTAACACCTTTGTATGCACAGCAATGTAAAGGTGTTCATACTAGAGAATAGAACTGTTTTACATTTAAACACATTTAGCAAAGAGCCCAACAAAATGCGAAGCAACATAGAGCTAAATGAGTAGTGAATCACACTAATCGAGGAACATGTAGCAGTATTTTCACAAATGGACAACTATTTCAAGAGCGTTGGATGAACAGGAGCAGCGACATGAACCCTGAACAAATCAGCTTAGTTTGAGAAACATTGAAAAACACAAAGCAGCCATGAATAAGTTTATCAAGATTAAGACGGGACAGCTAGTTAAAGGAAAATATCAAAGCAAGAGTGCTAGATAACAAAAAACATAGGGCTTTTGACAAACCAATAGGTCAAGGTTCCTGGAAAACTGCAGTTATTGTCATAGTCTCTTTCAGTGTTTTCTTCACAATCTCCGTTTCCGAGTTTTTGACATTCTTAGTGGAGCTGTTGCAAAGTCATTTGTCTTTACTTGTTGCAGGCAGCGCGTTGCCTGCTGACCATCGCGCGCGAAAAGATAATAAAGGAACACTACGACACTACGAGCTTGAAAGAAAGGTTGCGGTAGTAAGAGTAAGTTGAACTTAGACCCGAACCCAGAAAGACAACCAACACCAAAAAAACCAAGTAAACAACACTCTGAGGAGAATCTTTGGTCTCGGATGGTTTCGGCCTGAAAGATTGTAATTGATTTTCATTGAGTTTTATTGTGTGTTTTCATGTGTTTTCCATAAATTTTGGTATCCTTTATTAACACGCATAAAACACACACTGTTTGTTTATTGATTAATTTGGTCTATGAAATCACCAATTTCCCAAAACACGAAACACAAGGTCTTATTTTGACTTTTGCATTCCTTTTATCCAGAGGCCACAAACACATGTTTTTTTGTTTAGTTTTTTGTGACTTAAGGTTGCATATATGAGCTTACGGCCTCGTTAGTTAAGACGAAGTAGGTTGACTGGTTTCTCCCGAAGGGTTTGGGCTCTCAGCGTATGTCGTGCACCCTTTGCGGTGTGCGAACTTCGGAGCCGGACTCGAAGTGCACGTTCTGCCGAGCTAGGGACCGTTTCTGGGTTGTCTTGGACGAGCTCCCGTTCGAACTGAGAGGCTGGGCAATCTCGAACCTCCGAATCTGGACAGGAATCGTCCAGGAGGAACACGAGAAGTTCACCTCGCTTCTGAAGCAGCAGGAGGTCGTTGACAACACTGCAGCCCCGAAGTCAGCCGGCCCTAGCTTGGTCAGTAAATCTCCCACAGAGGGGAGAGAGTTGAACCTGAACGACAAGGCGAGTGACTCGAGGAAGGAAGGCCCTCAGACAAGCCCAAAAGGAGGAGAGGAGGCAGTTGAAGGACCAGACAAGAGCTGGATTGAGCCCAAGCGGGAGAAAGACAGGAACAGAAGCCCAAGAGGAAGCCCAGGAGTTGAAGAGTTAGACCTCCCAGAAGGGGAGGGGAAGTATTCGAGTGGCTCAAAGGTGCCTGAGGAGGACGAGAAGAGCAAGAGGAAGAGGAGCAAGAGCGACAAGAGAAGAGAGAGGTCAAGAAGTAAGAGATCAGGAAGAAGGAGGAGAAGAAGTTCATCGAGGAGGCCAAGGAGCCCGAAGGTGGAACGAGAGAAAGGTCGAAGCAGTCATCAGGCAGGACAAGACAAAGAAAAGAAAGCAAAGCCATCCGTCAGACCCCCAAGGACGCCTTCACGGTCACCGCCAGGAAACCGGGGAGGACCACCTCCTAAACAACCGCCGGTAGCAAGGCGCGGCGGACCACCTCCACCGGAGCGACGACCAGCCGGTCGCCAGTGGTCATCAGGTCCGATCCAGGCGTGGCAGAGGCAACCCCAGTTCTGGGGAACCAACAAGGGGCGAAAGAAGAAGGAAGAGCAGTACTACTTCAGGAGGTAGTACGAGTCCATCGGACTCCCTTCAATGGCATTGCGGAGGCCGGCAGCAAGAGTTGAGAGGAGAGAAGAAGTGAGGAGAGAACCTCCCAGAGAAAGGGGAGGAAGAGTGAGGAGACGCCCAGCCGGAGCAGATCCTGGGAGACCAGAGGCTGTCGAGGTGAGAGGCGGTGCAGAAGGGCGACTGTTTGAAGAAGGTCAAGCAGTGAGATGTCAGAACATCCCGTTGGAACTGCTCAGAAAGCGGCTCCCGGTGGCAATCACAGGCCGTTACTGGGGGGCACCAGGCGAGATCTCAGGCTTGGTGCGAGGGATCCAAATCCGTGGCAAGGAGGACGTGGAGGTCGAGGTGGATCTTCAGGGCACGACGACCGAAACGATCTTGCATTGGGCGACAGGGTCCTCGGAGAAGGTCATGCGCATCCACATGTGCGGAGGCCTATGCGAAGCTATGTTGGATGCCGAAAACCTCCTACATGGGGAGGAGATCAGGATGAGGAAGGGAGAAGACCCAGCCTGGGCTATGAACCTGATCGACGAAGGACGTTCAGGGGTGAAGAAGGCAGGGGAGGCAGCTCCCGAAGGAGATCAACCGAAGGAGAAAGAAGAGAAGCGAGAGGCAGAAAGAGGAAGGAGTCGAGAGAAGGAGAAGAAGAAAAAGAGAAAGAGGAAGGGGAGATCGTCGGGCGAGGCACATTCTCCCAAGGGCGAGGACAAGAAGAAGACGTCCATTCGCGCAATGGCCCGCAAGAGTCTCAAGAGCGTCTTCGAAGGTACGGGCATGGATCCAAATCCCAAGGTGAGAAAAAAGATCACAGCAAAGGCATCGAGGAGAGCAAAAAAGAAGAAGAAAAGTTCCTCGGAGAGCTCATCCACGGAGTCGAGCAGCGAGTCAACCGACGAGGAGAGTGGCGAACTCTTCGAGGAGACCCAAAAGGTGAGGAAGATAGGTCGCTTCGCCCCAGGTGCGCTGACGACGGCAGGCTGCCGCGAGATGGCGAGCAACCTCCTGAACTCCTCAGGAGGCATCTGGGATCAGTCGGAGGGTGCGCTTCAGCCCATTTGCTGCCAGTATTTCCGACAGGTCTTGAGCACACGCGTGACCGGAGGTCAATCTCGCGAAGCACTTACCCTGAGTTGGTGCCTCGACTTGCTGATGCAAGGACGAGTCGCCGAGGCCTCAGATGGCCTCATGCAGAGGCTGAAGGCCATCGAGATGAGCGCCCAGGGGGCCAGTTGGTCGATATCGCAGCGGATCGAGTTGGTCCCTGCAGAGAAGCCGATCATATCCAGCCGTGCGGAAACGCGAGAGGCCATCAAAGAGTCCAAAGAGGAGAACCGCACCCGAGCAGAAGCCAGCAGAGGAAAGACCAAAGGAGATTGGTCAGGAGGTTGGCGAGATACGCCATGGCAACACGAAAAAGGAAAACACAAAGAAGGAAAGGGCAAAGGAAAGAAGGGCAAGGAGAAGGAACAGGGGAGGAAGCAGGAGGCTTGAGGCCGCAGAAGGATCCAGAGGTCGTGGAAGCTTGCAGTCAGGTTCAGC